CTGCGCGTTACGTCACATGGCGTCACGTCCGGGAGTCCGGCACGGGCGCTGATTGGATGCGAGTGCCGCATCAGCGTTCGCATGGGGCTCGTTTTCTATCATAGCCCCACGCGAACGCCGACGCAGTACTCGCATCCAATCAGCGCCCGTGGCGGCCTCCCGGACGTGACGTCATGTGACGTAACGCGCAGGCTTTAGAGCTGTCTAGGAGGTGCTGACTTGAGACCCCACAATTTGCATATATCTCACGGCCAACGGTCAGCCGGGTTCGGTTGTGGGTTCGAATGTGTGCAAACTGATTGAAGATAAAGTAAGTATGTGTGTTGTCCCCTTCTTCGTCCGTCGTCTCCGGTTTTCAAAAATGTGTGCAAACTATTTCTAGAATAAAATGCTTAGATGGGCCAGTTGGTACATCGTGGGAAAATAAGCGCCAAAAAAACACGGACAAAGAGTAGATTGACAACGACACAGGGCGCACTCTCAACTGAATTTATTAGGAAAAAACACAAACTTATATACCAATGGGAGCACACTATCAGACACCACACGTCACGTTAGTCTCCGCCCAGACCACGTTTCAAATATTCAAACTCATTCGTAGACAGAGCCAATGATGTATCGCTAATGCATTTTTTACCCCCTCTCCTAATCTCAAATGCCTCGTGAAGCTCGCGTGACACTTTGTTTCTGTACCTCGCTAATATTTTAGTGCTAAAATTCTGGCGAAATGAATGAGCACGCCGCTTCAACTAGAACTACACCGTCAGGGCATTTGGCTGTACATTGCAAAAGATGCACTTGCGACCCATCATTTGACAGCACTAAAATATTAGCGAGGTACAGAAACAAAGTGTCACGCGAGCTTCACGAGGCATTTGAGATTAGGAGAGGGGGTAAAAAATGCATTAGCGATACATCATTGGCTCTGTCTACGAATGAGTTTGAATATTTGAAACGTGGTCTGGGCGGAGACTAACGTGACGTGTGGTGTCTGATAGTGTGCTCCCATTGGTATATAAGTTTGTGTTTTTTCCTAATAAATTCAGTTGAGAGTGCGCCCTGTGTCGTTGTCAATCTACTCTTTGTCCGTGTTTTTTTGGCGCTTATTTTCCCACTATTTCTAGAACTCGCGAAGCGAGCTAGACAGCCAACCGCGGTATAAATAGCGCCGATCAGGGATACTTCGTCATTCATTTCGCCAGACGCATCCTGACGTTGCAATTCTGCCGGGCCCCCCCTCACGCGGGCGAGAAAAATTACACCGACGTTAAGAGCGCCAGCCAGAACCACTGAGTACCCCCGGCGCAAAGCGCACGTTCTGATTCTTTCGGCTAAAAACGCACGTTCCGAACCTTGTGTCGTAAAGTACGCCTGTCCGTCAAGGTCAGCCACCCCTGGAAGAGTTTACACCAACGCTTTGCTGCCAGCCGAGCTCCACTGCGGCTAACAACCCACCCGTGGAGCCTTCATGAATCCTTAAGGCTTTTGCTGAACTAAAATAGCTTCTAAGGGAGAAAACATCGTTCACATTTCCAGATAAGATGTGGAAGAAGCAAACATTGTTAAAAAAGATATCTTTGTAATTATAAGTGCGCAACAATGAAGATAAGAGCTCATACATATAGCCGTGTACTGCAACGTTACAGAAACAACAACAAAAAATCACCAGGATATTCGCTGTCGGGTATATCAGCGTACCAAAATTACTTTGCACGCAGGAATTTATCCTTCATCAAAGCACTGGTAACCGTCAAATGACAGGAACCACAAGGTTCAAGAAGTTCGCCCGCTCCGCAGAGTATACCGTGTAGTCGATTCATTGCGGTGAGAGTCACGCTGCGCGGACAATGGAACCATGCACGCTCTTGTGCGGGCGCAGGCCTGATTCTCAGCTCAGTGTCTGTACGGCAAGCGAGACATAGCTTCTGTGTTGCCGTTCGCGGAATCCTTTCCTTGCGTCACTGTCGCATCATAGCGCTGTAGCGCCAAAGCCCATCTTCAAAATTTTGTCCCATCAGGACTGCAGGATGTCAGGTAGGACAGATGGTTCTTGTCCGACAAGACGTGCACGTTTGAGCCGAAGAACCGGTTATTGATTTCGCAGTGCCCGAACGATGGAAAACACCTCGCGTGGACCGGCGTGTTTGAGTCGTAGTCAATTTATGACTCTCTAATGCAATCGGTTTCTCAACCCCGTCATCCCCGATTTGTGCCAACGATCCCCTGCCGCCGCTGCCGACACCTCTGTGAAAATCCAGTAGGGCCCTGTAAGTGCGAGGCCGAAAGGCTCGCTGCCTCACAGAGTGCCGTCTTGAGCCGCTGAAACCAGGTCTCCAACATCTCTGGCCAAGGTATTCCGTTCCGTACGTCCTTTTGTGGTAATGGCCGTGATGGAAGTGTAGTCTTTTACATACTACCGGTAGTATGTAAAAGTTCTACGACGCTCTGTAGTTCCGTCTTATTGTACGGAGGATCCAAGCCCTCGATTGCGCAGTGTTTGTTTGAGTCGGGCAAATGCGTTCCATACCCCGCAACGTACCTATGGAAGTTGATTGCAACCCTGGCCACCTGACACTTCTCGTGATTAAAGTTCCCTGTTCGTTCAGTCGGGCTGTTTTCACAGGGCGCGTAGAACACCTCTCCTAAATTTACTTCTTCGTAAAATATGATTCCTACATGTCTCAGAAGAGCCCTTTTGCTTCTAGTTCGTTTCGCATGTTCACTTTAATTCTGCCGTCCTGAGTCACAGTACTCAAAACCACGTAGACAGCGTTTAGGGGACACCATCCCGTATTTATCCAGGTCAAAATCCCGATATTTGGGTCGATTCAACAACTGCCAGTCGTCAAACGAAAGTAAGTAGTCCACGGTGGTAGCCAGCTTATCTGTCACCGCGCACAGTACGCTGACCGAATCATTCTGACCAATCCCGCCCCGGAGCCTGGCTTGCATCCTATTTGGGTAAACCGCAGGACCCTTCACGCGTCGTCAGACGCATTTTTCATAAATCGAAAGGCCACCAATGGGCTCACTTTCTCATCATTGGGCAATTGCTCAGATTCCCATGTGACACCACACGATCTGCATATACATCAGGGCCAACGATCAGGCGGGTTCAAATGTAAGCAAACTATTCATAGTCCTCGCGAGCCGAGTCAGACAGCCGACCCCGGTGTGGATAGCGCCGACCAGGCTCCGCCAAACACATCATGACGTTTCCGTTCTACAACGCCCCCCACACGCGGGCGAGGAAGAGTACACCGATGTAAACAGTGCGAGCCAGAACCATCGGCTTCTCCCGGCCCGAGGCGGACGTTCTGATTATCTCGGCTGAAAAAGCAGCGTTCCGAACCTCACATCACAAAGTACGCCTGTTTCTCGAGGTCACCCACCACGCTAACCGCTCATTCACACTGGAAGCAGATGCGCGTTCGCAAAGCGGTTATGAACGCGGTTGTATAAAGATCCAGTACAATTGCACGCGCACTCGATAACATCAAGTGCGCGTGCAATTGTACTGGATCTTCATACAACCGCGTTCGCAACCGCTTTGCGAATGCGGATCCGCTTCCAGTGTGAATGAGCGGTAAGTGTTTGCGCTAACGCCTTGCTGTCAGCCGAGTCGTTCTGGCGCTAACTGCCCACCCGGGGAGCCTTCGTCGATGCTTACAAGCAGCGTCATAATTTGTGAACACAGTTTGTCACCCGAAAGAACGAAGAAATGTAGCTTATGATGATGAATGTTTTCTAATGCGGAGTGCGCGCCCCGTTTCTGACGAAACGCGAACGAGCCCGCCTCCGGAGTGGAGTTTCACAGCTGAGTTCATCTAATCACGTTGGTTGATTACAATGAGCTGGTGATGCCGAATCTGCCCTCCTTGTGGCCATTGCTTAGCTCTAGCTACCTCATCTAAGGGATCACCGTAATTCACTAGAGCAAAGGTGGCCAAACGGCGGCTCGCGAGCCGGATGCGGCTCTTCGCGGGTTCAATTGCGGCTCGCAACTCCCTGTTAAGCCTGCCGCCCTTTCCTCCTGTGCCCCCCCCTCCCCCCCGAAAAAAAATGTTTGAGAATGAAAACAAAAAAACATAGTTTTGGCAGTCTTGTACTACACTAGTAATTTACAGCTGGACTGCTTTTTGACATATAGATGTGTCCAGTGCCCCTGTTTCCTTTATTGTGCTAGAAATAGCGGGCGTCAGGGGCGGTGGCTAGCCAGCCAACTATGCATTAATTTTTTGCTTAGCGGTTGAAGAAATGTTCTGCTGCCTGCTGGTATTTGCTGTAGTCGACAATTATACTTAAAGCCCCTCCCCCCCCCCCCCCCCCCCCCCCCCCGGGCCCTCTTTTTTTTTTTCCTCTCTCTAAACTTCTGTAGTTTTGTCTGCAGCTCTCACCCAGTATTACTCTGGCCACCCCTGCACTAGAGTATCAAGTTTAGTTTTGCTAATTCATCCTCCCCTTCTTATTTATTACATAGTGATGATTACTCGAGACTGGGGGGAAAAGCAGATTTTTTTTAGCAGTCCTGGTAATCATGGTGAACATACAGGGTCGCTGCCTGTATGTTCACCATTGCTTGGTGTATATGCTTTCTCCCTTATTTTTTTATGAAGACATGGAAGAACAAAGCAAAGTGCAGAGATATTCTGCCTGACGAGGCTCAATCACCCTAATCATCAGCCCATAAAGAAAAAAGAATTACGGAGCAAAAACAAGACATCGGCAGAGAACATCATCGCAGCATTATTAATGTAACACATTCACAGTCAAGTAGTAGAATGCGTCACATTTTGTACTGTGGCTGCCTGAGAGAGTAGCACTCGAAGAACATTTTACAGAGGGATGTACTGTAAATGCTCATAAATGTAAATGTGAATGCAATTACGCTTCTGTTTAATTTATTCCGTAGGGCATAAGAGAATATTCTTCCGTCGTGTCCTACTCCCATCGCATCCTCCGAGTTAATTGCGCCTGATTCGCGCGCTTCTCTTGGGCAGGCAATCATGTCCGAGGAGGGCAAGATGGACGACGGCCTGGAGTTCAGCCGCGCCCAAGTCGAAGAGTCGCGCACCGCCAGGGTTATCCGCAAATGTGGCTCCCTCTTCAACAAATTCATCGTGTAAGTGGCTCGACCGAACAAAGCTGTTGGACCGTCTTAAAATGGGCGTGTTGGATATATATATATATATATGTCTTTTCGGTAACCCCCCTTCCCCCCCAGCGCACGAAATTACTCATAAATATGAACATTCTTGGGCGTAATCGTGCGAGCAATCTTGTTAGTAAAATGGGAGTAATCTTGCGCACTGTTACCTAAAAGGCTGTTATACTACAGCGTTTACATAAGGCGGCGAACCTTGAACGAATTTTTTAAGCCGATGTCACAGAAAAGACGACCTACAGACTGCTTCTTTCTTGTATCGCGGTCCTGCCTCATTAGTATGCAGTCGCGTTCGAAGCAAACATATGTGCTTCGGACATGTTTCATGCGTCTCTGAATACAATTCTTCCAGCAAGCGAGTCTGGTTAATGTATGAGCAGTATGCCACTGCCGCTTTACAATGCCCGCACAGGTGTTTGAACGCGAGCGCACTCTGATATGGACAAAAAGTACCGTTTGCACGCCGCCACCAGCCACGTGGCTACTGTCCGCTAAATTTGCTGCGAGACGACTTCCTTGACAAAGTGAGTTTCGTTGACTCTGCGTGAAAAACGTTTATGTATCCTAACCACCAGATTTTTTTGTGAGACGTAACAAAAGCGTGCCTCCATTTTTTCACCTTGATTCTCGAGAAACAACCGAGTTGCTGTTTTCGGTGCCGGCCTAAGTGGCGAAAAAAACAATACTGTGAATACTATTTTGTAAAAGAATCAGTTGTACGCATAATGTGTAAACAATTCCTCAAAAAATGTCCCCACCAAAATGTTAAGTGTAACGCTCGATTTCAAGAACTTGAGCGCAATTTAGAAAGTATATATACCCAGCGTAGCTTAAGACACGTTGCCCATATTTTGTCTCCCGACAATATTCCTAGGATTCATTTAATTTGTATGCGTCGCAGTGCTCAGGAAGCTCACTGTTTTCTTCCCTATTTCTCTTTCAGGAATTTGGACGCTATGCAGAATGAAGGCGCCACAGAAGAGTCTGCAATCAGCACGATAGACCAAGACGAAATGATCATGTGCTTCGAAGACTTGATCAACTACTTCGTGCAACCCGAAGACGATATCGGTGCGTGCACTCACACAGGGCTGGCGTTGGTCCTACTTTGAAGTTCACTGCTGAGCAAACGAAACTTTCAAGGGAGCTTTCGAATATCTCACGCGCTCCCGTTGCACCATGCACCATCGAAGGCAGCAGGCGAGAGATCGTCAAACCTTTTTAAAGACGTTATCTCCTCATGGTGTGGACTATTCGACCTTTTTAGATCATTTTTCCGATAGACTCTCCATATTCCTTAGCCGCAGGTGCTCGGTATCAGACGTCTGTGCTTTTCTTTGAGGGAAAAGAGCAGAAAGGGAAACGTTTTCGCCGTTACTCTCGCGGTTTGAAAATTCTCATGGCATATTTGTAAAAGGGAAAGAGGATGCCATCCAAAGTTCTAGGTTTCTTCAAATATTATTTTGAGGAGTTATATAAAAGTGCATAACATCCACTGAAACTACGGAGGAAAACTATGGTTGAAAAACGGTAATGGTGATGATTAGTTCTTTTAAGCAAGTGCAACACCTGTTTTGTACTTTAACAAAGACAACGCAATTTTAGTCTATTTTTTGTGTTTATGTTCTAAGAAACGGCAACCTTTTGTAACAAAATAGCATGCAATTGCAGGAGGTCAGTTGACAGCCGCGCTCCTTTCATAGTTTAAGTATAGAAACTAAAAAACAAACTTGGTCTACACAGCATTTGATTATGAAGTTTTGGCTTGCCAGAACCGAGGATTGACTACAAAAAGTGAAACTGAGATAAATTTCATTGGAAATTTAAACGTTTTGACGTCAGATAGTGCCGGCATATAAAAAATAATTTATTCTGCAGAACTATTTCAGTTACAGAAATGAAACTTCCCGACATCATCCTTTAGGGCTTTTCCAAGCGAAAAAAACTACATGTAAACAAGGTGTCCTCGGAAAAGAAAAAGAAAAATTTTGATGCAGTGTCACATTTTAAGCTGTGCATTGTGAGTAAGCGAATTCGGGCGTAATGATATCCTAATAATGATTGAAGTACGGTGGAAGTCTATTTACTGTCTTCTAAGAACTTCTAAGAACTTGTCACACTCACACTGATTTGTTTTTTCGTCGGTATGTTACCAACACTTTAGAGCCAGTGACTTTCTGTGGTGCTGTGAGCTTCTTTGGGTGGAATAGTTATTTACACCATAATAAATTGAATGGACGATAGGAAATCATTTTCAGCTACCCTTTATCTCCACAGTCCTACGATGCACCAAGTATGTAAGGAGCGGTCGTTTAAACTTGTTCAAAAGACAGTCGGTACGGAAGCTCAAAAAGCTAACTTTCTGATCAATTTTCCGTTAAATTTAGCGAGGAGACTGACAGTGCCTAGATCACGTGACTGATTTCCCCGCTAAACTCAGCGGGGAAACCAACTTGGTGCATAGGTCACGGACATCAATTTCTCTGCCGAAACTAGCCGGGAAACTGAATTGCTGAATTGTCCAGTGACGTCAGATCACGTGACGCCAATTTTACTGCTAAATAAAGCGGTTAAACTGCATTGGTATATAGTTCTCATGAATTATGCACCAGTGCATCTTTAGGTTTCCCGCTGAATTCAGTGCGACAAAAGTTTCTGATGGAAGGGGGGGGGGGGGGTTACAAAGCATTTCCTTTTGAATAGCCGAAACGTTACTGGCGACGCCGTTTCATGCTAACCGAAAGTGTGGAAATATGTCACCCCTGCCACTCCTGCCATAACGAATATTTCCGATACCGATATGCTTTATTTTTGATAATAAAGAGGCCGCAAACACGCGAAGTCCAGATTACGAGAGTGATTTCAGATGCACGAAGCCTGGAGTGGGAACGTTCAGAATCGGAAGAATATGGGTTGTTTCCGCGCTGTAACTAGCCCGGTATATAAAAGTTTGCAAATGGGAATTAAAGAATTTACTGCAGAAGAAGGCACAAATGTACCAACTTTCGGTTTTATAAAATATTTGGAGCGCTATCTGCCGGTGAATGCTGAAAACATTCCCCTCCGCATTACGGAATTCAGAATTTTTTTATTCGTTTTTTAAATGTTCAAGTTTCACAGCTTTTAATTTTCAGTAGAATGAAAGATAACGGAACGAATGCCAGTAAATAGGATTTGTAGGACTATGCGGGAACTGAAAATGGTTAAATACCAAACAAGGCGGAAGTAAATAATGGCTCCCAGACTAGCACGTGTGCCCAGCATGCTTAGTTCTGCTGCTTTTGATACCCTCACAAGCTAAAGACGCAGATATTCATGCAATGTGCAAAGGTATTCGCGCATGATTACTCTTGTTTCCTTGCAGAACACGAAGAGAAACAGAACAAGTTGAAGGCCTTACGGAATAGGCAGGACCTTTTCCAGGAAGAGGTGAGAACATTCTTTTAAACCGAACAGGTACAGATGCATGTTGTCGAAGTAAATGGGAATGGATTTTTTTTAGATACCGCATGGCGGCATACTAAGCTTGCTTGTGACGTCAACGCACAATGTTGTCGCTTCTTCCTACTTGTTTCTGCCAAACAAATTGACAGAAAATGTGCTCTGCAGAAGGTACGCGCCCAGCGGCCGCTCGAATGACGTCAGTGCAAGCCATGTACTGGGGAGGTGATTAATCAATCACGCTGCACCCTCCTCTTTTCCTTCTGGTGCTCTTAAAAATGGCGTAATCTGCACGGGGGGGGGGGGGGGGGAGAGAAAATGAATATTTGATTGTGCAGCTGTTGAGAAGGGGGAAAGCAGAGTGCGGCTGTTCTCGTTACCTTCTGTATAAACGAACTTTAGTGGGTAGAGCATATATAAATCACTTGGCGGCTTGTAATCCAGCGTTGGGTCACAACTCGTGTTCAATCGTTGAAACACTGAATAAAAAGTTGAATACTGCATTCGTGTTCAACCTGTGTACCGCGCTCGATCAAGTTAGATGACGTAAAGAATATAGTGCCCAGGCCCTGTTTTGAGCAAATACAGAACTTAATGGGATTTTATGTCTAAGTTGTCTTTTCTTTTGGCCGAAAACAAGCGCGGTCTGTCATTACATACTTGCCATGACGGAACAACCGGGGGGGGGGGGGGGGGGTATTTTGGCGAGTTGATGCACCAACTGGTTCGAACCACAAGCCACAACCCAAAATTTGGTCTGCCCTGTTTCGGTCTATAGGCAACTTGTAATGCTGCCTGGTTTGGCGCTCTATACTTCGTTGCAGCTTAAGTTCAGACGCACCCGACGCTACAAGCGCGAGTATGTTGCCCTGAACAGTGATTGTACTGCACGAACGCGCATGCTAGGCAGGGACTCTGAAAGCCTGGAGCTTGCGCTTATAGCATCAGCTGCGTCTAGACGTAAAGGGGCCCTGCAATCCTTTTTAAGCGTCTACCTTTTTTGCGTTTTCCACGTCTCTTGTGAGTCCGGCAACCCAGCGGACACGGAGAAAGTAACTGAATATCAGTGCGTCATGTTTTCACCGGATGACGCGGAAACCTCCACCTCCTACGGGGGCGCTCCGTGGTGTCGAACGCGCGCGGCATGTGACGAAATCGTGACATTGTTGGTCCTTATCAGCCGAGGAGAGAGAGCTCCCCTGTTCCCAGGCAGCTCTCACTCCTGGGCCTCACCTCAACAAGGAGCAAATTTGGGCGAGTTTGTTGATGGTCATATTGAAGGGGTTAAAACAGTGCGGAAAGACGAAGGACCAGTAAAAGGAAACAGACAAACTGTGTCTGTGTGTTTCCTTCTACTGGTCCTTCGTCTTTTTGCGCTGTTTTAACCCATTTAGTATGGCCTCACCTCCTTTCCCCGTCTTCCCCTCCCTCCCCACATTCCTCAGTCACCGCTGCAGGGGGAATCCTCCGGCGCGGGAAAAGGGGGGACAGAGGACCAAGGACGTCACGACGGAGGTTATTTTTTGCTTCTTTTTTTAATTTTGATATGCCTATAACTTCTGAAATAAAGCTAATTTCGAGAAAATAAAAAGTTCACTAAGTGACTACGTTCAGTGCGCTCAGGATCGGCGCAAATTAAAGAAGAAGAAAAAACAGTAAAACAGTCGATGTTGGGCCCCTTTGAGCTGAAACGAAATATAGCGAATGAAGCAAGAAACATTATGTTTACCTGGAAGTGCCGGCTTCATTGTCTAAAGCAAGAAATGCTGGGTAGGCAAGGAATGCCTGGGCGTATAGCACAGGCACGCCACAGCACAGGCACGCCACAGCACGCCAGTATGGCGGAAGCTACGGCCCCTACGTTTCAGTAGTAACAACGTAGTGAGGCATGTGACCACGTATCGTAGGTGTGAGCTTTTATTGCGAAGCACTCTCAGGCTTTTCGTTCGTCATGCTTCAATATGGGTGTGCTGCGCTGGTATATGTAGCCCATCTCTAAAGCGCCAGAAAGATATGTAGGGCGTAGCGTTCACCCTTTGCAAAGCTACAACGAGACAACATAACCATGGGCTCTCACTCCGTTGGTGCCAGTAGGCGGATGCCGACTGCCTATTTCAAAGCAGTAGCTCTTATATGGACTTTTTCCACTCGAAATGCTGATGTAGGGCACCCGCCATCGATATCGTCATTTGATGTCAAGATGTCTGTGACGTCGCGGTGCCGTGTGACGCCACAATAACACGCGATGTCACGATGCTGCGGGAATTCACGCTGCTACAGAACATTATGGTATCACGTAACATGGAGATGCCACGGTTCTACGATAAACGTGTCGTCATCTGTCTGGATAGTTTTCGTGATATAGACAAGTGTGTCACCATGCGAGCAGACATTTGCGATGGTTCCTTCAGGTAAGCTGCAAGATGCATAAGTGCAACGCACATAAGTATACATTACGTTCCGACAAGGTGTCAGACATCCCTGGGAATGTGGATTCACAGGGGACCGCTAGTTTTGTGCCCGTGTGTTGATTCGGGGCTGTTGTCTCGCCCTCATTCGGAGGCATACATGAGTGCCACTTTCACGCAGGGCATCTTCAACTTGATTCTGGAAACGATCGACAAGATCGTGCTCGTTCGGATGCGTACATGAGTGCTACTTGCACGCAGGGCATCCTCAACTTGATTCTGGAGACGATCGACAAGATCAACACCATCACCACGTCGGGCTACCTGATGACCGCCGGAGGGGAGGACGCCGGCCAGAACTGGGACGCCATCTCGGGCTTCCTCTACCAGCTGCTCGGTGAGCGGGCATTGGGCGCGCATATCCGGTTCCTGGTCCATTCACCACCGTGGGATTTCGGCGAAGCCCGTTCTTACTTATCCGCGGGGGCTCTTCTTTCACCTGAAATTCAAATGTCCTGACCGTCTACTAGCCGCATTATTCGGAGAGCGCCATGGTCCTTTTAATGAACCACATAGATGGGATTTTCGACAAACTGCAATGTAATTTAGCTCAAAAGTAAGGGTAAAAGCCCATTCACACATTAGTGACTTTTTAGGACTGAGTTTCTTGAAACCTATTAAAATCTCTTACAGCGAGAGTACGCACTGGCGCCACCTATGGGATGGAACACTTCATGGTTCCGTATAGTTCCCATTTGTTTCGCGCATCGTTTCTTCTTTCTTTCTTGGCTTGAAATAACTGTTATAAATGCTATAAACGACCATTTTACATAAGTAGTGCGTATATTTCACTTTGCAAATACAGCCAAATCTTTGCTCTAGTAAAATTCAGTTCCAGGTCACTGTATAGATGGCGCCAGCATGTGAGTGTGTTCTCTCGCTGTAAGATATTTTAGAAGGTTTTAAGGCATTTGGTTCTAAGGAGTCGCAAGTCTGTGAAAGGGCCATAATTGATTACCTAAATCGTAAATCCCTACACACTAAAAGCAGTTTCATATTCGGCGTTTTTTTTTTCGCCGCAATATAGCATTACCATAAGGCTAGAAACAAAAAAAAAACATTTCAAATTCGAGCACACCACTTTTACTCAACTGCCACCAGTTGAGCATGGTGTTTGTTTTGCGTGCCTTTACGCAAGAAGAGCAAGGCGGGCTTGTGCGTTTTCTTGGGCCCCAAGAAACAAAAACAAAGAAAGTGCATAGAGAAATGCTGGTCAAATGGGTATGCCTATAGAGCCGCGTATAATTACACGAACGAGCATTGCAGACAAGGAGCGTCAAGAATGTCCAAGAAGTCCATGTCGTCAAGAAATGGAATTATGCATGGATTACGAAGAGGGATCGGCGGCCGAGTGGGGAGCTAGCGCATATCAGCTCGGAACACGTGGAGCGAAAGCTCGCCCAGGGGTGGGGATTGAACCCAGGGATCCTGGGTTCAATCCCCACCCCTGCCCGTTTCGATCTGGATGAGCATCGCAACGGCGTGCGGTCGTATATCACTACTGCGTGGTGCACGTTAAGGACCCCAGGCTAGCAGTCGTACCGCACTGGCTAAATTGCTCATTACAGTGGGTAACAATGTCGCCATGTTCTGGCAGACTAAACATCTGCTGTAAAAACAACAAACGACTTATTTTTTTTTTTGTCTATCGCGGGTTAAATTGTATCGCTGTTTTATTCGTAAGCACACTGCAAGCACGCTTCTGATAGTAGTCCTGCTTCCGACTCAAAAAAGTATTTTAGTGCATTGTTCCGTTACCTCCGATACCGCCAATAACGATACGATATATGCTCAAACGCTGCGGCGGAGTATCGGGTATCGGTGTCATCGAGACGATCTACTAAAACTATGTAATCTCCTCGTCCTTCGTGTTTGATTTAGAAGTTGTGCTTGACATAAAAATAGTGTAATTCTATTTATTAAGTTGGTTTTTGTTCAACCCAGAATTATCACTTTTGTAAATGTGTCCAGAGCATGCTGTGTGTAATGATAGTGGTTTTTAAACTTCTGGGAGCGATCGAAAACGACTCCGTTTATCCGTGTATGAGTGCGAGGCGCGCCCTATATCGGCATATCTGCTGTTAACGTGCAAGTCAATACTGCTGATATTGCCGAAACAAAGAGGGCGCATAAGCAAGGTCTGCCCGATACAGAGCAGACGCATATGCGAAATCTGGCCAATACGTGGCCGACAGTTCGATGTGGGCAGTACTCGCATGATATACCGTCGATACTAGGACTGTGGCAAAACGGCGGTACGCCAACACCTGACCAATGTCGGAACGTGCTGCAAAACCACATATTCGGCGGATATTGGTGCCGATTTTCGGTCAACACTGGCACGACACTGACCAAGTCTTGCCGTGTTGCTTGATATAGTATGATGTGGGCAGTGTTCGTAGTGTACCACACGCTACAAATGTATAGTTCGCGTTCCTCCGTATACCATGAATGGAATTAGGAACTTAAAATAGTTTTTCTTTCGTTTATTGCTAGTTTGAGCCGGTAGGCTTCGTGGCTCCGAGCAATATTGTTAGAAAGGTACACCGTCGATTTTTCGAGCTACCCAGATGAGCCTTGGATTCACGCTTTCCAGCATGCTATTTAGTATCTCTAAATTTAAAATATCTAAATATCTATTGAACACTGTCGCACAATGGCAACACCAAAAATGGTATTCAAATTTACCCACGCCTTTCAGTCGCCAAAGTTTACAGGCAGACATACTTCGGGATCGAGCAGAGTCGCATATTCTTTTCGAGCAACTCACCGAGTACTTCAGTGAACCCGTGCCTGCCACCAGAACCACAGTTGGAGTTTTGTCAGTGGAAATTTTCAGTTCGGATAAGCGCTGAGAGACCTAAATTAAATATCTGATAACTTCTAAAAAAATATTTTCACGGAATAATTGACTTTGTGCACTCACTGATAAGACAAGAATCGCAGGAAGTCATTAGTTATGGCCAGCTAACAGCACACACTCGTTGCCGTAGCTTGTTTAGTGGCACTAGGTGTACCGATTGTAAGATAAATTGTTTTCTTAGTTTTTTTTTGTATCTCTTACGGTGGGTGAAGGCAAAAGGACGCTCCGCCGCCTTTTCGTGGTCGTTGAGTTTCTCCAAAATCGACTCGAAGCCTCAATCCACAGGGCTGAACTGAGAGAAGGGGAACGGCTGAAAAATCCTTGAGTTTTCACCAGACGCCTAAGCATTAATGCTTAGGCGTCTGGTGAGGTTCGCGCATGCACGCGAAGTCACCGTGCAGCAATAGTACTATATTTTTTACTTACCACCTACTGTAAACGTCACTTTAAATGGGTTCTGTACGATGATAGGTATTATCTAAAAATAGATTGTCCCAATTAGATTAATATATTCACCCCTTGTCGGACGTACAATCTTTGAAGATTTACTGCCTTATAACGAAATTATCTCCCGATTGAAGACCATAACGTAAAAAAACGGCGTATTTGTGTGAGCGAGTGCGTGTGCTCGTGCACGTGTCATGGTATATGTGTGGATACGTGTGTACATGTGTGGGTGTTCGTGCTAGTGCTTGCAAGCAGCAATGAAAAGAGGAATCAGGACAGCGTGACCAACGCTATTTGCGTGTGTCCTGTGTTGCGGCAGGTGAGTGAGCAGGACGAGCGCAGGAGGCTTGCGATCAAATCCCGATACCAGTGTTGCCTTAAAATAAACCATTTTGTAAGCGTTGTGGGAGACTAAATTGAAATGAAGAAACAGAATTACAGTAAAATGTTTAGCAAACGCCTACTCAAAATGTGTATCATGAAAACTTAGGGTCGCGCTCCTTAGGCCAACAATATACAAAGATATCTTTGTTTCCGAACGTTACGAGACGCTTATTGTGAAACTGGCTAAAGCTCGACATTTTACGGTATAATGAAACCCGCACTGAGGCAAAGAACAACGCCCGGCGCACCCGCATGCCCTGACCTTTATCTTTCTTGCTACCAAACACATTTCAGTTAAGCCGCCGTCGGCAGCGCACCCTCTCATATCGGTATCTAGTCATCCACTTTACGGGCAGCGAGCGACTCGGGGAGGTGGACCTGGTGCTTAAATAGCATGTCCCGCTCACCGGTCGCCTGTCTATGTCCGTGCAGCGGCCATAATCAAGGGGAACCACACCAACTGCGCCCAGTTCGCCCAGCCTCATCGCCTGGACTGGCTTTTCAGCCGTCTCAGCAGCCAGCAGGCCTCCGAAGGCACAGGTGGGTTCTTTCTTCCCTACATTGACAACACTCAGAAGAGAAAGAAACAAATGCAAGACAGCTAATAGCATTTATATGCGCGACCCTCGAGGTGACAATCTTCATCGTTACCTCGCATCCAAAATGCCAGAATTCCACGTGGTTTATGGCCGGGGGGCCACGCCATTAACAGGAAATTTACCCGGTGTCTGCCAAAAAAACTAACAGGCTTCTTCTCATCGGAAAGATTTGCTCTGCCTCGCCAAACGTTCCAATTCTTCGTTTTCTATTACCACCAAAGAATGATATGTTGCGATAGAATGATTACATGAGGCCACACTCCACAATTTAATTTTTATGCGCGACCGGAGCCGAAGCTACAGGCACACGCATGTTGCCCTTGACGATGCACGAACGAGCACGCTGGACAGTGATGCTGAAAGCCCAGAGTTTGCTCTTGTAACTTCCGCTAGGCTCGCACTTAAAGTGAAACCTAATATTCGGCAAAATAAACTCTACTCTACTCTAGATTTGTGCGCTTAAGTTTATTTTATAATTACTTCCCAACTCATTGCCTTAGGAGTACACTCAGATAAATATGGAGACGGTTTCTGATTATGATTACACTTCCTATATGTTTCAAAACGATAAAGTACAATTGCGAGGTTATACAATACACGGTGTTAAAGGTCAATCTATGCAATATTCGGATAATAAGATTGTCCCCGTCTTTGCACCAACAGTCTTGCGGGTGTTCCACAAGTGGTTACTTAAGTGGATTTCTGTGCTTCCTGTGAACTTCAGGTGTTTCTAATATTGACTAATTGAATTGTTTTCGATTACACTTAGCAAGTGTCTCATTGGTATCATACGTTTGTTTTTCTCACGAAAATAAATTAAAAAAAACTTTCAGCTAATTATTCGACTTATCTCGGCGGTTATCCCCTACATTATGTACTCCTGTACAGAACCCATTTGTTGCATAATGATAAACCTGAGGCTGAGAAAATAAAATCACGGACAACCACACACTCACAGACACACCATACACACCGTCTAGGACACTCTGTGTGGTTGTCAGTTTATTCAGTTTGGTCCACTTTCTTGCTTATCATTGTGAAGTTAGTTCACCAGCAAGTCTGATATCTTTTTTTTTTTTCACTTTCAGCGCATTAAAGTAGTTTACATAACTTCTTTTGAAGAAGATCTGTAATAAATAATTTTAAACACCCCGTATATTGTGCTTGTCGTGGGTGATGTGTTATGTGAGACCAAGTCACTATATTCCTATCTCGACGAGCAGGGATGCTGGACGTTCTTCACTGCGTGCTCATCGACAGTCCCGAGGCCCTGAACATCATGAAGGAAGACCACATCAAGGTCATCATCTCCCTCCTCGAGAAGCACGGCCGCGACCCCAAGGTACGCGGTCGAGACCCGCACTTGTATGCGCCTTTCCAGCGCTTATCACCCGACCGAGAAATGCCCAGTCGCTGGGTTTTGGACGCTTGCGCTGCATGTCGTATTACGCGAAAGAGAGTGCATGCTCCGAACTCCTGCCACATCCTACTAGACGAAGAGCGCGCACAAGCCGGTCCTTAGACGAACCAACCACATCGAAAATGCGCACCTGGTTGAACCTGCCAAGTTCTATATATCATAGAATGTGATTGTCGGAGCAATGCTTATGTGTGTATGCAAGGTGCCTCGCGGGTCAGCAAACCACCATCAGTTGTAAGGTAGCAATGAAAGGAGCGCGCTCTTAAGTAAAAAAAGGGGCGCTTTTCGATCGTATATCAACAAACTGCGCCACGCAGAAAGCTGACTCCCGTCGAATGTCACGCTAGCAGTAGTAATAGAATGTCGAGTCACCCTAGTGAAAAATTCATTTGTATGAGAAATCTATTTTGTCCAATACACACATAAGAATCATGCAAGATATATAAGAACATATAAGAGCCATATAAGAACTATATAAGATTAATAAGAACTTTGTTAGAAACTCATAAAGAAACTTCTCACAAGTTTTTTATATGGTTCTTATATGTTGTTAAGTATTTTGTTTGATTCATATCTGTTTATTAGCCACACACATATTTCACAGAAATTAATTTTTTTAATATAGTATCGGAGCATAAAGGGACACTGAACTCACAAGAAAGTAAATAGGGTTCCCCATTGAAAAATCTCATTTGCATGAGACATTTTTATGTCCAGTAAGCACATATGAATCATAAAAGATATATAAGAACATACAGGAACCAAATAAGAAGTTTGCGAGAAGTTTCTTTTGAGGTTGTTATGTAGTTATTATTTGTCATTTATAGTTCTTTTATGGTTCTTATATCTTCTTATGTATCTTGTATCATTCATGTGTATTTAGTGGACACAAGAAAGTTTTCATACAATTTGCTTTTTTACTAGGGCCTCTAACCAGTTCAAACGGAAACACCCTCCAATAAACGATTTGCAATTTTTCCAAGCGCCCCGGCCCGCGCGCGAGGAATTGTGGGAGAGACTGTCCCTCGCCTGGCCGCTCTGCCTTGAGATCGCCTTGCCTTGTCGCTAGCCTCCTCGTAATCCTCTGTTTTTCGACTCAATTACCTATTTTTATTTATTCCAGTGTATTTTGTATAGCTACTAAGTGTTTCTATTCTCTTCTGCGCGCGATATTTCTTGTATATATATATATATTATTTGTGTCTTTATTTCGCCTTTTTCGACGGGAGTGCTGACGGACAACACGCCGCTTCGCGCGTCGTTCCCCGGGTGAGTATACTACCGTTGCTACCAATTCCTATCGCGCTGTTAGCTGTTCATTTTGGTTCATTTGACCCCCGTGCAGTCGAGAGGAGTCGTTTATGAATACCCGCGCACATGTCATCGGGGTAGGCAGAGCTCTGAATCAACAATCGCGACGCGAGAGCCGAGTGCGCATTGATTTGGCCGCCCGCGCTCGCTCTGTTGACTCGCACTGTAGCGTTTGCCTTTGAGTGCCGCTTACTTGACCAAGATACAGTACGCCGCTCTGTCGCCGCGAACCATTTGTCCGAATGTTTGCGAAACCGTATCACTGTTACAAAACCACTACCCCGATCCCCGCTGTCCCTCGTGCACCTTCCGGAAAGGGAGTCCCCTACCATTTCGTTGAGCGAAGTTTCGTCGAAAACATTTATCGTTTTTTCAGTGTTAATCGTTTTTATTTATAAACCTGCAAATGATATTGCAGCAATTAGACTAAAATAACTTTCACTCCCAGTCATATATCTTATTATGCCAAATATGTTCTTAATCGGTCAAAGTTGAAAACATAAATACCAACTCCAGCAGAACTCAATGCAATCAGTGGAATCACGAAACAATAGCTACTTTTCGGATTATTGTTTCCTGTCAGCGCTATGTTCTTGTTAACATAGTCCTACACAAAATTTTAGCATTATGTTGTTTTTCGACCGTTGTGAGTTGCAGGCTTTTCGCCTTGTGTGGCTGTCTTCACAAAACAAAACTCCACAACAACTCTTTAGCTTTGACACAGTGATATGAAAATAATTACAATATTTTATATTTAAACTTTTGGCGAGCAATTTTTCTTACATTTTGCCGCCAAGAGGAGAGCCACAAAGGAGCATACGCTTCGGTTCTCCTTAAAGAACGACAGTCGCTTCCCGCAATTCTTACACAGAAAATGGCGTACCATTGCGATTCACACGATTACCAGCGAACTCCGCGCTTCCCCGTGCCCCGTTGTTCGCAAGCGCCACGAGTTGCAGAGTTAATTTTACGACAGTATGAAATGCGGGACATTTTGAATATTCGGGAACTTTTTGCGGGACGCGGGACACGAGCCCTTAAGGCGGACAGTCCCGCGAGTCGCGGGACGGGTGGTCACCCTAGTGACAGCACATCTCTGCACTTGAAAAAAGGTGTTTGCAGCTGACAACCGCTTAGCTGATAGATTGAGAACGCATACCATAAGCGCCTACAAGACGCGACGTTGGGCCACCGGCACTTGCGAAGGGCTCGCCCCGCTGTGCGCAATTTGTCAGGCACCACAGCGTTGGAAATGACGAACTGTGTTACGGCTTCGCAGGCATTCGGACAAATGATTTGAGGCAACAGATCTCTGCACTTGAAAAAGGGCATTGGCAACTGACAACCGCTTAGCAGGTAGATGACGAAGGCATGCCATAGGCGCATTCAAGCCGCGGCATTGAGCCGTCGGCGTTTGCGAAGGGATCGCGCCGCAGCGCGCAGTTGTCAGAGGCCGCAGCGTTGCATGTGCCTGAGCTTCGCAAACATTCGAACAAATGGTTTGCGGCGACAGAGCGACGTGCTGTATCTTGGTCAAGTAAACGGCACTCGAAGGTATACGCTACAGTGCGAGTCAGCAGTGCGAGCGCGAGCGGCCTAAGCACAGAGCACTCGGCTCTCGCGTCGCGATTGTTGATTCAGAGCTCTGCCTACCACTATGACATGTGCTCGGGTGTTCATAAACGGCTCCTCTCAACTGCACGCGGGTCACATGAACCAAAATGAACAGCGAACAGCGCGATAGGAATCGATAGCAACGGTAGTCCTCACCCGGGGAACGATGCGCGAAGCGGCGTGTTGTCCGTCGGGACTCCCGTCGAAAAAGGCAAAATAAGGACACGAATAATATATATACACACACATATATATATATATATATATATATATATATAATATATATATATATATATATATATATATATATAAATGGAAGAAAACGCACCTGAGACGGTTGTTTGAGTTTTTAAAAACATATTATTGGTAAAGTTGGTCGACGTTTCGGCCTGAGCCAGACCTTTTTCAAGACTGCACATGAGAAGTCAGATTGACGCTCCTTGACCACGTCACGTGGCATTCCAAACATCTGGTTTCTTTCAAGAGTTGACGGTACCCCCCCGACGCAGTCGTCCCCCCCCCCCCCCCCCCCCCCCCCCCGCGTAAACCCGACCCTGGTGAAAGAACTCGCACCATGTCGGAAAATCTAACTGAAGCAAAGCGGTGTGGGAGGGAGGAGGAAGGCAGCCACGAAAACAGCGGGCGCCAAACACTCGCCGAAAAAAAAAAAAAAAAAAGCTTTTGAGAAAAATGCTCTGAGCGGGTTCGCAGTCTTGAAGTTCATTACGTGAAGGGGGGGATGTGTAGATGTGTGTTTTTTTTCACGGACAGGGGGGGGGGGGGGGGGGGCGGCTGGTACACCGCTCGGACACCGCTCAGAGCATTGTTCTCAAAAGCTTTTTTTTTTTTTTTTTTTTTTTCGGCGAGTGTTTGGCGCCTGCTGTTTTTGTGGCTGCCTTCCTCCTCCCTCCCACACCGCTTTGCTTCATTTACATTTTCCGACATGGTGCGAGTTCTTTCACCAGGGTCGGGTTTACGCGGGGGGGGGGGGGGGGGGGGGGGGGACGACTGCGTCGGGGGGTACCGTCAACTCTTGAGAGAAACCAGATGTTTGGAATGCCACGTGATGTGGTCAAGGAGCGTCAATCTGACTTCTCATGTGCAGTCTTGAAAAAGGTCTGGCTCAGGCCGAAACGTCGACCAACTTTACCAATAATATGTTTTAAAAACTCAAACAACCGTCTCAGGTGCGTTTTCTTCCATATATACCTTTCGTCATCCTGCGCTTCGTTTTTTTTTCTCTCTCTCTCTCTCTCTCTATATATATATATGTCACCCGCAGAAGAGAATAGAAACACTAAGAAGCAATAAAATATGCACTGGAATAGATAAAAATAGATATAAAAATAGATAAAATAGATAAATAAATAGACAGAGGATTAAGAGGAGGCAATCCTTAAGGCAATGCGATCTCAAGGCAGAGCGGACAGGCGAGGGACAGTCACTCCCACAATTCCTCGCGCACGGGCCGGGGCGCTTGGGGGATTTTGTAAAAGGGCTATTACGTTGGTTGTGGCTCATTTTGGGCTATAGCAGGAGGCGGACAAAATAAACCGGGTAGCTGAGTTTGAGACGTCGTCCGGTCCTTTTCTGTTCCTTCGACTCATGTGTTCAGCTCTGACCCAGTCTCAGGTTTATTCAACATGGTTAACATTCACCAGCTCGCCTGCACCATTACTATATTATATCTGCTTCTGACGCTCTGCTGGAAGTGGGACCGAGCGGGGCTTCAGAAATGTGGGCCGTTTCAGGTGCTGGACGTGCTCTGCTCTCTGTGCGTGACCGGAAAGGGCGTGGCAGTGCGCAGCAGCCAGAACAACATTTGCGACAACCTACTGCCTGGACGCAACCTACTGCTACAGACGAGGCTGGTTGACCACGTGGCCAGGTGAGACTCGATTGACCCGAGTCGTATCGCTGGGGTTCTCTTGGAGCGAGAGTCAGATAGATCTAACCCATACCATATGGAAGACGTGCGCTTGATCTCATCGTTAGTGATTCATCGACCTTCCCCAATGGCGAACACAATGAAGCAGAATGAGAAACACCGCGGTAGAAGCGTCCGCTTTCCGTCGCCCCGTGCCAACGTCGCGTTTGTTGTTCTGCGAAACGCGCTGGCGGCAATGCTTGCAGAAGCGGTGGCGCTGCCTGATCCACTAAGGACGACGTGGTGACGCAGGTCTTCTATCTCGTACTTCGAATGCATCTTGAGAATCACATCTGCATGTTTCGGCACTTTAATGTATTGCAAGGGTACGACTAGGTGATGTATTTCTCTCTTTTTAGATACAAAGCAGAAAGCTTGCTTCGATGGAAAGTTACAGATAAATGCGCAAGATTCCTATGCAACAAGATGGAGTTCAACCTTTTCCGTTTTAATGTAAAAAAAAAACTGTTCTGGGTGTTTCGAATATTTGGTTAAACAAAACATCGAAAAGAGAGCAAAGAAAGTAATTCCGACTCGGGCTAACGTCCCATTTTCTTGTCCAATGAATTGAGTTGATTACCCATCGAGAGTATATTTTAATTTAGAACGGTTTGGTTAACCTCGGCCACACGCATAAAAATAAGTTTTGTTTTTATTTGTTCCGCCGATGAAGGCGTCTCTGTGGCTCGATATTTTCGCGAAACAAATGCACCAGCTAGTCGAACCTTTGTGGTAAATTACAGTGTCGGAGCGAACGAAAGTGGCGCTCGAGATTTATTTAAGCAGGTTAGGTTTATTCGGCTCTCGCTGGACAACATATATGTCAGATCAGATGCTCCCTCGCTAGATGGGACGTTTCTGAAGCAGACGCGCCTGAGGGATAACAGTTTAAATAAACTGAGGCTGCTCGCAGCGCCAATCTGCAAATGGCCCGTTGGAGGGCTACTTGATAGCGTAAACACTGCACGCTCCGATTTTGACTTGTTGCTGCATTTCGAAAACAAACATAATTTTAGAAACCAAGCCAAGAGGCTAACTATACTGCTAGTCTCACGTTTTATTTATGTTTCGGAACTTTAGTCATCGACAGAGTTAAAACGTGTCTTTGGAACACCTTGCCTTCAGAACGCTCTCCACGCCTTCCGCCGTTCATTGGCTGCGTGCGCGTGCTCGAGGCTCATGAGATGCCGAAGCGTCGTCGAAGGCAGGAAGGTCGCTCTGTGCTGGTAGCCCGTCCCTGCCGTCCTTACCTTGCCATGGACCATGACTCGTTTTAACGTCGGCCTTTCCGAATCGCTACATCATGTTCCCTGAGTCCCAGCCGCTGTATTGGAGTGGGCATCTTATTAGTTTGGTCATACGAAAGCAGAAACAAAGGCACGCGGAAGCCTACGATGTGACGGATCTTTGAAGTCCCAATGCTGGTGAAGTATATACGCTTTATTCCTTACAGACTGGGCTCTCCAGTGAGCTATTAGGAACCCAAGAATTCCCTGAGCCTTACTTCGACCATCCTTGCCTCTAAGTAAAGCGTTCCTCCAGTTTAATCAATGTTCTAGAAAGTCTGAGTCATTCAGTGATTCATGACTACGTGGCAAACAGTGTCTAGTATGAGCACTACCCTTCACGTGGTCCTGGACTTGTTTACTGTTTTACGGCATCAATGCCGATACCAAGTTGGGCTTCCGGCTATTCATTGAAGAAGATAGGCGAGGTCAACGGGGTTTGTAAACCCTTGCCTTAGGCATTAAGCTAAAATTACTCGAAAGGCAATATGGTTGCGCCTAAGACATAACTGTCTATTTTCCAGCAAGGTGTAGCTACTTTCGTTGACAGGAGTATGAAGATACACTGGTGCGATAAATTTCGCATAAACACGACATGGGAGCTTTTTTGCAGTTTACTCGGACACAAAATTCACAGGCACTAAACTTAACGACTTCTGTTAGAGCCCCTAATGAGTACTTTCCGCGGTACTTGTTGTAAGCTTTATGACATCTCTCCAATTTTAGGACGTTTCTGACGTGTTTTTGTGTATCCCTTGTCTCCTTTGGCGTTCGCATACCAAGATGTTTAACAAATACGTTTTTCTAATTCTATATAGGAAAAACTAACAATCGCTTCTTCGCGCTAAGACATTCATGCTTTGTGCACCTTGATCAACTCCAAATAACAATCTTCTGAGCACCAAAATTGTTCACATACTAATCATTTTTGTTTTTGGGGTGTTCTTCACGATGCAATTCTAGCTACTATGCACATTTTCAGTTAATTTATGTTTATTTCGTATCGAAACAGTATTGGGACCGAGCGGACGTAACGCAAGAGCCTAGCAGCACCTCCCTAGTGGCAAACAGATCGGTTTTGTCGGGACTGGGGAAGTAGCTACTGCACTGAGAATGAGCCGGAGCGAGGAAAGAGAAAGTAAAAAGTAAGCACAATTTAGATATAAGAAATCGAGTTTTCAGAATGACTGCATTGCTTCAAATATTGTTTGGCCTCCGTCAGAGGGGCTGTTTCGCATAGGCGCAGCGGCCTGATGCGAAATGTCACGTGATTGAAGCACTTTCAAAAAGGCTGAGCCCTTTGAAGCGTAAAATTAGGAGGACCAGCGCTCAGTAATTCAGCTTTTAAATACAGAGGGCGAAAAACCCACGGATACCCAACGCAGAATGTCAAAGAAGCTTGGAGGAAACTGCGTGTCACTTTGACAAGTGTATGAGTGGCATAAGAAGTTCTACAGCAGACAGTTAGGCTTGACTGACGCACCTCGCTCCGGCCTGGCTCGCACTGCGACGACGACAGATTCAATATCAAAAGTTGAACTGCTGTTACACAAACACCGGCATGTCACGATGGATGCGTGGGATGAAGAATTGAACTTTAGTCGGTCGCTCCGTTCACCTAATCATTCATGATATTCTGTAGTGCCATAAAATGTCCGCCAAGTAGGCGTCTGAACAACTTCCGCCACAGATGACGGGGCACCGTTTGAATGTTGGCGAGAAAATGCTACGACACTAGCTAGCCGAGGGAGATAATTCCTCCAATGGATTGTCACCGGGAACGAATGTTGGCTTAACTATGCCAAGCCAGAGACCAAGCGGACGAGCAAAGTGTGTGTGTGTGTGGCGGGGGGGGGGGGGGGGGGGGGGCAACACTTCGTCGCCAAGACCAAGACGTTCCGAGCAGTTCCAGCGCGGGGCGTTGGAACTGCCCGGAACTGCCTGCCTTCTGGAACCACAAACGACTTGTAATCAAATATCACACACCCAGGGAACTCAGCGCCAGCTGCTATTCGTATTGTGACGTGCTTGATAGCCATTTCAAGCTTATGCTCGGGTCTACGTTCAGTGGTTTGCCAACCTAAGCTTGCTGCATCACGACATTGCTCGCTTCCACGCGGCCCGTTCGAATACAATAAAAACAAGCAAACAAGGGGTTTACTTCTTAAGTGTATTACGCATCCGCCATACTCAGCGGGATGAAGTTCCGTACGGATGATAAGCTGAAAGCGGCAGTGCACAATTGCTGGCCGTAGAATCTGCAGCAAGATGCTTTCTCCCGCAACATTGAGACCATTGGTGAAGCGTTGTTGCACATGTGTTTAACGAGGGGTTGACTATGTTGAATAGTGACAAACTTCATTTAACCCTGTTTCGATTATTGTGCAGGGGAAAGTAAATTGCGGTTACTTTTTGTCTCCGCCTCGTAGATGTTGCGAAATGGAATATATATATGCCTTTCCAGAAAGTTCAAAATTCCTGCTGTGTATTTCAATGACGTAGTACGCAGGAAAACTCTCCCAGTGCAAAGTTATACTTGTTTCAAACCTTGCGAGACTGGCTGCCGCTTGACCTGGTACAGCTTGTGCATAGTTGCGAGGAGCGTTTTTCACCTTGCAGTTCATGATTTGTTTTAAACTGCGGAAGGCATGTATAACAAACTTTTTTCAAACGGCTATATAATGAACTGGATACCCACGGTAAGTTCCAAACGCTACACAAATTATTTTTAGCAGTGCGAACGTTGAATAGCGGTTAAAACGGGGAAGTACTGAACGCGAGTGCAAGGGCCTTTTAGAGTTAAGGCAAGACGTTTACATCTCCCGTCATTGTTTTTATATCAGACTGATTACTGTCGAATCCCGTCCTTTGTAATGCGCCAGCAACTCAAGAACAACAACACTCAAGGTACGCGAACGTCCTTCCGGCCATTGCTTGGCTGCGTAGCAAAAGACCGCGAGTGCAGGGGGTGATCCAGTGAACAGTGACGGTGTGGCCGCCAACTGGGGGATGGCTCTGTTCAGCATGCAGCCCAACATATTCGTGGGGCGGGTGGAGGGGGCGGCCCTGTTCCGGCGCTGGTACTACGAGGCCATGGTGGACCACTGCGAGCAGCGGAGCCACCTGGAGCCGCACCTGCGCATCGGGTGGGCCAACACGGCGGGCTACGTGCCCTACCCGGGGGGCGGCTCCAAGTGGGGCGGCAACGGCCTCGGGGACGACCTCTACTCCTTCGGCTTCGACGGGGCCTGCCTCTGGACCGGTGCGTTCAGACCCCTTTACGCCACCTTCTGAGCGTACCACGCTTGCAGACCGCAGTATCGCAGTGGTCTTCAATTTTACAACGATAATCGTTATTAGAGAGTTTTAGGGAACCGTTTTTCCACACCCGATACGGTACGATGGGCCCTCCGGTACGAACTGCGCATGCGCTAACGCAGAACACTCGCATGTGCGCAGTTCGTACCCGAGGGCCCATCGTACCGTATCGGATGTGCAAAAACGGTTCTCTAAAATCTCTGTTGGGGGTTCTAGTGAATCGTTTCTTTACCTCCGACAACGATGCGATGCATGCGCAAAGGCGTCGCGGATTATCGGGGATCGCTATCAGAGTTATGTAAAAGTTCCGATTTCGTTGAACGTTTTTCTGCCGCGCTACGCTCTCCGTGAAAACGACGCCGCTAGTGCGCATGTGCACTGCTAGCATTGTCTTTTAGAGTTCCGGATATGGCAGGCTGTGTAAAGATAAGATCATGCACGTGAATCCGGACGTATTTTTTGTTTATTGTTTTTATGTTACTCCGGAATTTGCGTTAAACACGTCATAAAAAAAGGTTTTGGAAAAAATAAAAACATATGTCAACAAAAAAAATGTTTGAGTACGCCAGAACGACATATTAGATTCTTGAAGTTTTCGTGTTTTTTTATGTTTGTTGACACCTACTACGCAAAGTACAAACATAAAAAAAAACTCAAATATCTTTTTTGATTTAGAAATGATCGTGGGAACTATTGATTTAAATATATGTACTGCATTGTGGAGGTTATATATTTCGAGTTACAAATGCGCAAACATGGCTCCTTTGACGTTTCCTCACTAGATTTCTGAGCCGTTATCTAAAGAGGTTGAGTACCTACACCATCAAACTTTATGTCATATATTTGTATTAAAACGTTATTTCGAATGAAATAGAGATAATTGCTTTATCTCAAAGATGTATTTTTTTTGTGGCGCTCCAAACTTGTCCTAAAGAACAGAGTTAGGAAATCTCACGTGGCAATTAAGGAAAAAGCCATCTACGATTTTTTCTGAAATTCGTAGTGCATGATAGTTATCCACCGTACTCTTATGTTAATTCATAAAAAAAACAAAAAAACATGTGGCATCATTCTGATTTCTTCAATGTCACAGCACTGCGAAGCGTACCTCCTACACCGGCATGTTTGTCCAAGGCCGCAGACGGGGCGATCTTGGGATTTTGTGCATTTCATGACTAGATATGCTTCGTGCTGCATTCGGGTATTGGGCTGGAGCTCGAGTATTCTGCTAATTAAAACAATACGCGCATTAATCGTATTTTGTATCTATTTAACAAATAATCCTGTTTTGCCCTTTAAAATTACAAGTTCTAGGGGCTTTAGCTTAATTTTTTCCACTTGTAATCGCTACTATTAACGTTTTTTAGAGGAAGTGGTAGAAACGTAATAGCAGATGTGCAAATATTATGCAAATATTTATATATATATTTGCAATGAAGTGAGAGTTTTTGAGTCATCAAGATTGATACACTGCTATTCCTAACTGTAGTAGGTACGGCTGATCAAGGTAAACCTGCGACTTCACTGGTAGACTTTTACTAAGACGTCCATTGATAACGCTAACTTTGCGCGGGGTTTCGTTAAGATGCCGTATTGCATGGTTTCAAGGCTGAATACGTCGGCTCGCTCCATGAGACCAATTAATGCTTTCGCATTAAAAACACCTTTAATGAAGGTCTCGAATAGACCCCTTTTGAAAGTCACGTGCCGATTAATAGAAGGTCAGAACTACTGCACCATGGCGGAACAACTGATAATGGGAAGGAGCTGAGCTAGTTGGGTTGTACATACTTGGATTGTGGAAACCAGTTGAACTTACCCAGGTGCCAGTGATCGGATGTCTTTTCTCCTTTTTCTCCTCACCCTTTTCTGTAAGTTCAGCTGGCTTCCACAATCCAAGGAACAGCCGATATCGCGGAACGTGTAAGTCATTCCATAAGATAGGGAACGTCGGAGCGCGCGCGCGGCCAACACTATAAGACGAATCAACAGCGTCGTAAGTGGAAAGACAATGCGGTCACCACCTTTTTTGTTGGCGTGTTTTTGCCTTCTAATCCGACCCAACGCATAAAGTGGGCAGTGACGTTGCTGTTCTAGTCCGCCATTGTACAGGAATTCCACAGCTGCGAACAGAGGGAAGTCTTTCGAAATGGGTTTTTATAGGCGATTTATCGTAACTAGAGCCCAGAAACTATAACCTTAACAGTGACTATCGAACGGCGCTCATACTTTCCAGGTGGCCGCAGCAACGCCGTCCGCAACGCTCCGGCGCCCTTCATCCGCAAGGGCGACGTGGTTGGCTGCATCATTGACCTCAACGTACCCGTGATTAGCTTCACCGTCAACGGCATCAAGGTGAAGGGCTGCTTTCGCAACTTCAACACCGACGGCATGTTCTACCCGGCCATCAGCTTCTCCGCAAAGCTCAGGTGGGTCCCGCCACTCGCACTTGCTTTCGCAAATTTCGTTTTCATCTTCCTTATTTCCCCATACCATTTGCTTTTTTGTTTATTGCTGTAGCAGGTTCAGGTTGTACATAATGCCATAGGAGAGCAAAAAAAATCATATTCTCTCGTAAACTATACAAAAATGATAAGATAGCAGTGCTTGCATTGAGATAGAATACAAAGATGTTATGTCAATTTGTTACAGGGAGATGGCAAAAAAATGGCAGCCTCAGCAAGGACAACGATATAGCACGTTAAAATAAAGGCTATAAATAATATTTCTGATGGGTCCATCGGCGTCTCGCTAGAGTTTGAGTAAGCCTGTGGCGTTATCGAGTTTAGCCAGAAAAAAAAATTAGGATGTAAACGACATGACGCGGAGCAATAAAATGCTAAATAACCTCGTATCGACTTTCCCGGGGTTGTTGAAAACTTAAATATAACCTAGAAAGCCCGCGCTCTACAAAATCAGGTCTCGCGCTACGAAGTCTGGTGCTGCCTGTCATATTTTCACTCGCCTTCTCTATTCGTTCTGAGCCTTTTAACATAGAACGTGTTTATGGGGTGTATTTCATTGAAAAGTGCAACGCGGAAAAACGGAAATCATTACACGCGGGCCAAGGAAACATAAATGATGCATAGCCCATAGACGGCAATGCAGAACCATTTGATAGATATAAAATGTATAATTAGTTATAATATTTTATAATAATATTAATAGCTTTATTTTCAGCAATGAGGTACAGTGTTGGTGGGGGCTTTGGTAAAAAAAAAAGCTGTCAAAACAGCGTGTCCGGTCCCGAGGCCCCAGATGTGTAGCAGCAGCAGAAAAAGTTCACAAAAAATCATATTGCACATCAGCAAGATGTTCAAAACAAAAGAGTCAAACTAGCGATAGTATTGATATAACGAAAAACGAACATATAAACATTCCACTCAAAATTGATCGGTTTGGCTAAGAATTCAGACGTTCCTTGGTTACCTGCAGACGTAATTTCAAGCTCGTTCAAGCAACATAACATTAGCTCTATTCACATAATTGAAACCAGAAAGATTTACCAAGGTGCTTAGCGGGAATCGAAACCAGCCCCATAGGAACTCCAGTCCGACAGCTTTGGTCGGTGACACAAGCAGAAGATGAATGAGACCGCAAGCTATTGGACTAGTACGACTTACTTTAAAAGGCATAAAAGCGCAGAAAAAAACAAGGACGAAGACGAAGTAAAACAGGCACAAGGTGCAACGCAACAAAAGTGTGTTTAAGGTAAAAAGCTAACCGTTCCAAAAAACTTTACACACTAACGCTACATGAGGCTCGAAAAGAAACCTCTCCATCTTTATCGATACACTTCAATACACACTAGTGGTTCTCGGCGGATCACGCAAAAACCTTAGCCAGAGGCGAGGGTTAGGACAGCTTCCCTCTCCCTGACTGGAGAGGTCCTGGTTAAGTGGTTGGACGACCCAATTTGTAGTGATAGTTTGATAACGCTCATAAAGCAAGGGATGTCACGTGCTAGATCCCGATCTGAAAGGGCATAGCAGTGGGGATGGAGGACCGGTGGAGCCAAAACCTCGCTCTGACGTGCGTGCCGCAGTGAAAAGTCAAATACTAACGTCCCCCAATTCTCTTTTAGTTGAGGGAGTAAAGAAGGCAAAGATAGGTTATCAAGAAAGAACAGTTAGAAGACACGTCATTGGACCTTCATCGAAGTGTCACAGAGGCCTTCTTCATAATGGGAGGTAACTCGTAGAAGTTGTAGCAAGAGTGGGTGCTGTTTTTCTTTTTTTTTTTTTTCACATGATACCCAGAATCTTGATGTCCAGCAAGGAAGTCCTGTTTCGCCGTTGCAAACTCGCAAATGAAATATATTCCACCGTGTAGTGCTTCCAATGAACTTGTGGAATGACGTCCTCCGACTGGCACATGATATCACGATGGCTTGATATCAAGGTGGAATGCGCAGGACTGAGAGAATACTCGAGTCTTTTTCCTGGCCCGGAGCCCAAGGAAATATTAAGATTTGTACGCTCGTGCAATGTGTGCCAAGAACAATCCCTAAAGGGATGGTAGCCATGGCTCCATTGGCGCGGGTACGGATTATTGAGACTTCATTTAAGCGGGTTGCTATCGACCTCAATGGGGTCCTACACCCCACGTCTAAAAAAAGAAATCGGTTCATACTTACCATCATTGACTTCGCAACTCGATATCCTGAGGCTGTCGCACTCCCGTCAGTTGATTCGAAGACTGTAGCGAAGGAGTTACTCGAGATGTTTTCTGGAATGGGACTGCCACATAAAAATCTCTCAGACAGAGGTACAGTTTTACTTCGGATTTGATGAAGTAAGTAACAAAGTTCCTCTCCATCAAGCACTTCTTGTCTACGCCTTACCACCCCACGTGCGGTAGTCTCGTGAAATAATTTAACGGTACCTTGAAACAAATGGCCAAAATTATGTGAGAAGAGGAACCCCGCTTTTGGAATGAATATTTGGCTCCGTTGCTCTTCGCCTATTGTGAACCCCCATAGGCCAGTTTGGGCTTTTCGCCTTTCAAACTCATTTATGTAAGACACGTGAGAGGGCGGCTGTCGCTTCTGAAGTAAGTACTTCTCGCCTCTCAGTCGTGCCTCAGTTTCTAGGGAGGGAATCAACCAGGAAGTGAGGACAAGATACTGTTATGTCTTGGAGCTGCGGAGTGGGCTAGTGTAGCCGATGGAATTAGCTCACCAGGAGCTGGGCGAAGTCCGTGAGGCTCAAAAGCGCAATTGCGACCGGGGAGGAAGGCAACTGAGCGTAGGAGACCGGGCCTTGATTTTGTTGCCTACCAGCCACAACAAACTTCTGATTCTCTGGAAAAGCCATTTTACTGTCATTGAGAATAAAAACGAAGTGGATTACAAGATATATTTAGGCCGTACTTGCAAAGTGTTTCACATCAACATGCTAAAACGGTATGAAGAGCGCGCAAACCACTGCTGTGGTGCGCTGAACAAGTGGGTTCTTTTATAGCGATAGAGGACGAGGAAGGCAGAAGAGAACTTACATCTATCATCGAAAACGCTCAAGAGTCGGGTGCTACGCTGGAGTTTTCTATTGCAAGAATACTCGTTTCTCACCGACACACCTGATATTTGGTTAGACAAAAAAATTGAAGGGGTTTTTTCATTGATGTGTGTAATAAACCGACGGAAAGAAGGGGAGAAGGAAAGTTAACCGGACACGAAGGCGAAGGCCAAGTGAAGGGAAGAAGAGGGAGACAAGGGGGTGACGTGTACAAAAAACTGCTAGTATTTGACCCGGACGAATTAGAGATGAAGGCAAAGCTGGATGGAAGTTCTGTACGATGTAACCAACGGCCAGGAACGTAGGAAACTCGAGCTCTTTGGTAAAGTTTCTAGATCAACCGATACCACTTTCGTGAGAAAGGTTTCTAAAACGTCGAGTCAAACAGCAGGATTGTTCAGATGACTTTCAAGGATGGAATCATCGTGGACGAAATCAAGAAGGAAATTCATGTCGAGTGCTGCAAAGTACTCTTTCCGGTGCCCGGTAGAGCCCCTCTTTGCCTTCCGATTCGGCGCAAGATACAAATGAGAAAAACGCCATGTTCCCAAATGCACGGAACGTCATCGGTATGCCCACGAGAGCGCAGACTGTGTCTGTACCTGCGCAGCAATAGCTCAAGAACGGAAAGAAGAAGATGCGAACCGCTTCAGATGGATGAGGCAGAAGACGCGACAGAAGGGGCCGTGTCTGAGAACCCCAGCACCAAAGAAGCAACCGGAATCGCCCTCCCTGTAAAACAGGATAAAGCAGTGGGGACATCTCAAGGCATTCATCTAGAAGAAAAAAATCGAGAAAAAGGGGATGAAGAAGGAAGTGGCAAGGTGTCTGTCTACTCATGCAACACAAGGGGTGCAGAAAACTTCGACGATCGCTGTGATTAGCACATGAACCACGGAGGGGAGAGCAAAGATATTGACAGCGTGTACAGAGCTGCCAACCAGGCCGGCAAACGGCAAAGAAACCAGCCACCACACGAGGCCTCGCTTGAAGACGAGGGACGTGGCAGGTGGCCGTGGAACAGGGTATGGGCCTCAGCCATTGCGTATTGTCATTCAAGCCTCGAAGACCGGTGGCCAACCGAAGTTGCAAGGACTCACTCTGAGAGGTTTCGAACGTTTGTTTGTGCACATTTTATGCGTGAAAACTACTTCTTGGACGAAATGTTTCTTGGGCGAACACTAACAACCTTTCACTATTTACTGTCAAAGTAATCATGGTGGAGTGAATCCCACCTATCCGTTTTGCCACCTTTAATGTAAGGGGAATAAACTCTCGGGAAAAAAACAGTACCGTCGCAAATACTTCCTAATGATGAAGATATTGACATCATCGGCCTCTAGGAAGCAAAAATAGAATATGACGGGGTAATAGAGCAAGGTAATTGAGCCCTTTCTGTGTAAATACGAGACATGTGTCAGTCATGTAGTAGGCATGTTCGCACAGTGATTTTTATTTCTTGCGAAAAACAAATAGATCTGACCGAAATGAGAATTTCCGCAAACCACGCAAGTCACCTTATTGTTTGTGATTTCCTTTTAAAGAATTAACACTGGCGGGTGTTATGCGTTTATGCACCGAAACAAACCAATGAAAGAGAAGCGTTTTCTTGACACTTCGCGAATTATTTAAATTAAGAAAGGCGTGTTGTTTTCTTACACTTCATTTGTGCGTGTAGCGTGCAGGATAGGGCTACTATAAATCGAGTCACCGCTGGGTCACATGAAGTAAACCCCTTCTCTGTAAAAAGGTATGATCGAAGATTTAAAAACGCAAAAAAAATGAAAAAAATGGTCGTGAAGTGTCAATTTTCCCCAGAGCCACAGTCTGTGATATTTGCTTGTCTTTAAACTGTGGTATGTTATAAAGGTGCTATGTTGGGCACGCACCAAGCATACCAAAAAAAAAATGCA